CCAACTACTCTCTTGATTACACTTGACACATGCTTTCAGGGGAAATTCATGCCTGGTACCATAAACATGGTTAAGGAAGCCATACGCCCTAAGGAAGAAACTACTGATGTCCTATTAAATGGTCATGTTGTGAAACTCTCTTCTAAATATTTATGTTTCTATCCACAGAGTTGTGTTGTTCTCAACTTTAGTCAGACACTTATTGCAGAGATAGTGGTGAGTTTAGGACTCACAATGTTGAAAAAGCTAGGAACAAGTGAGTGTGAGGGCTCAGCCATGTATGGAATACCTATACCACCGCACTCCACCCAAGGCTCAGAGAACACTGCAGAATAGGACTGTGAAAGGCTGGCCTTTGGACATGGCATGGATGTTATACAAACTAACAGTAGCTGTATTTATCTGAACAAGTTGTATTTAGCAAGATCAAAATAGTTAGAAAGTTCATCATGAAGGAGAGAGGGTTTCCTGATGCCCCCCGCCCCTGCTGGAAAGCAGGGATGTGGGCAGCTGAGGGTGTGGAGAGAAGGAGAGTCGTTTTTCTTTTCAGGAGTAGGGAGTGACCACTGTCAGGTTGCCCATGTCCCAGCGAATGATCCCACATCCACACACATATAGGTAGCACTATTTGGACTTGGTGAGTCATACAGTAAAAAGATGAGAAATTGGGAGGGAGATGGGAGATATGTTGAGGGGGCTGGGGAGAGTGGGAGAGAATGGGAATGGATATGACCAAGATGAATTTTATATATGTATGAAATATAAAATATGACTATAACAGAGGCTCTGTAAGGGTAACTAATTACCACATCCCCAATCCTACAGTACGAATTATATGTTTACTGTCTGATTAATCCTCAGGAAAAAAAAAATCACAAAGTGGACTTGCTGCCATGTTTTAGAAGAATCATGCCAGAGAGTAATGTACCAAGATATCAACACTCTGAAGGGTGGTAACCTAAACACCTACTCCCTGGTTACTGAATCTACCATACTACTAGATCCAAAGAAGTTGCCAGCAGGCCTTGATGGATTTAGAGTCAGGAATTTTGACTTCTCTTCTGATTGCTTTTTCTCACTTTACTTCTAGACGCAGCTATGTCAGAGGGCAAGTGCCCCAGTTAGCTTGTCAACTGGACATAACCGAGAATCCTTTGAGAAGAGAGTCTCAGTGGAGGAACTGCCTAAATCAGATTACCCTTTGGCATGTCTTGATTATTATTATTATTAAATAATAATAATACTGAACGATAATAATTATTGAATCTCCCATGTGGGGGATTATCTTGATAGTTAGTGTAAAAGGGAGGGCCTAGGCCTCTGTGGTATTCCCTGAGATGTTCCTAGGTTGTATAAGAAAGCTAGGTAAGTAGGAGACAGTGAACAAGCCAGAAAGCAGTGTTCCCCAATGAACTGTTTCAACTTCCTGTCCTGATTTCTCTCAGTGATGAGTCTAGAAGTATAACAAGGCAAACTCTTCCCTCCCTGAAGTTATTTTTTGTCATGGTACTTGCCACACACAGAGAATGAAACTAGTTCAGTGGGTGCCATCTACTTCCCTTGTCCTTATTCCAAGTTGTAGTTAAGGAACCAGGTGGCCACGAATCAGATCTCAGGGCAAGAATCATCCTCCCAACTTTTAACCAGCACAGACACCGTCCTCATTCCTGTGAACCTGACCCATGGACGAGACCTGACCCCATCTTATGATAAGCCATTTATGTAGATCACAGATCCTGATCACAAAAGCAACCTCTGGACCATTCTGGTGTGTAGTTTTATTTATGCATGTATTTGTTACATTTATTTCACTAAACTGGAGGCTGAAGCTGAACAGCAGACAGAAGCTGGGGCAGGGACAGGATTAGTGAGGTTCTGGTTAACTCCAGAACAAACATGAGCATTACTTAGTTGGGTGCAATGGTTAGTGGCGTCAACAAAATCTAGAACCACCTGGGAGATGAGCCTCTGGGAATACCTGTGAGGGATTATTTTATGTTGGAAGACCCATCTTAATTGTGGGTGGGGCCGTTCTCTGAGCAGAAGATCCTAGACTGTGTGGAGAAACAGCTGAATACCAGCATGTATGCATTCACTGTCTCTGCTCCTGGCTGTGGATGCGATACGATCATTAGCTTCAGTCTCTGGCCACCCTGGCTTTCTAACTAGCTGTGAACTTCCTCCATTAAGTTTCTTTTCTCAAGGCTATTTTATCACAGCAACAGAAAAGAAAGTGAGACAAAAACTGGCACCAAGTGGGGCCAATGATGTGGTAATCCTGACCCTGTAGTTCTTAGGCCTCTCAAACTGTTTTATGGTATAAATATGTAAGAACTTGGGGCCTTGGGACTAGAAAGCCCTCAAGTACTAAAAGCAAAATGGGCTCTTCTGATGGGAGCTTGGAAGACCAAAATATGGAGAAACATAGCCAGTTGCGACCTATCTCATGAGTTCTAAGGGGACAAAGGAATCTATCTGGAACTGGGCTAGGGGCCTTTCATGTGATATTTTGGCTGAGTCTGGCTATGTTTTGTCCATATCCTAAGAAGCTGAATGAAGTTCAGTGTAAAGACTATGCACTCATTTGTTTGGCAGAGGAAAGGTGTGTGAGCAAGCTCCAAAGTTTCAGGCAGAATGCAGACAGAAAAGTGCTGTAATTGTTAGAAGAGCCACTAACAGACACCTGTGCCGCACTGGAACCACAGCAGAGGTGTCCCATTGGAGGCTCCAAACCAAGCTGCTGGCAATGTTGTCCAAGGGGTACCAGTCTTAAAGGTATGAAAAACACAAGACGGAAGGAGTCGCTGAGAGCAGCTGAGGCCAGGTAATCTCTGACAGGGTCAGACTCCCTGCAAAGAGCTCCTGAGAGGCCATTTATGTGCAATTATGAAAGTGAAGCAAGGAAGACCCCCAGGATTTTGGAGATATTAGGACTGGGGATGTCAGCCAAGGCAAGTTGTAAAAATGGATTGGAACCAATTGAAGGCCACAGAGCTGAAGGGGTGTGGCTACCTGTATTTTTGGAGATCAGCCAATTTCATTACAGCCTCAGACACTAGGTAGTCATTCCTTGTTACACCCAGACTCTTTCTTCCCTTATGTTAGAATATTTATTCTATGCCATTCTAAGTTGGTTAGACTTTTAAAGCATTGAAATGCTTTGAGGGCTATGAGGGGTGCTATGAGATGGCTTAATAGGTCTTTACTTGCTCTTCATGTATAGTGACAGGGATATGTACATGTGTGCGCCTCCACACACACACATACACACACACACACACACACAATCTTCAAAGAGGTAGAATTGGGATCAGTGTAGACTTGCCAGACTGTAGTAGAATCAACTAAAATGGGATTCCGGGCATCCCAGGGAGGGATTTTCTTGATTACACTAACAAACTAGTGATCCTGAACTTTGTTCGTGGAGTAAACAGTCTTTGCATACATACATCCATTGTTCTTTGTTTGCCTTTGTAGATGTCAGCTGCTTGAAGCTCTCGCATCCTGACTTCCGACCCTTAAGCTAAGTCAGAATAGCCTTTTCCCCTTCAGCTGTGCCAGTCCCACCCCCCCTGTGTAGCCCTGGCTAGCTGAAACTCGTTATGCAGAACTGGCTGGATCAAAGCCAGACATCCACCCACCTGTCTCCTTGGTGCTGTGATGAAAGGTGTGCACCACCACACCCTGTTACGTTGCTTCTGTTTGGGCACTCTATCAAAGTGCCAGGTAAGTAACTAAGACATTGGGCATTTTAGATCTATCCCCAAAAGGTCTAAATGGCACAGCTCTAATCCTTGGAACAGAGTGATTTACTCCTGTTACAGGTGCCCACACACTTGTCACAGCCTCCTCTTTCCCTTTTAAATACTGCTGTAACTCCAGTGTTGAAGATACAAGATTCGGAGAGAATGCTCATGAAGAGAAAGAAGGGGCATCATCATGTTTTCCTGGCTAAAAGGCCTTTTTAGTCCTTGTATTCATCCTATTATACGGTTATTTACTACTTTGTGCATGAGGAAGTGTAGGAGAGAGGCACCCGAGGGTTAGAGGACTAGTAAACAGCAGGCCCACCTGTGTCCCGTTAGTACTGCCAGGCGAGGGCTGTGCACCTACTTCCTAGGTTAGTCACAATATGAAGACTGTTGGCTATTCTCCCTCCCTTTCAGTGCCCAATGGGACAGGCACCTACATTTCATTCCTTCTCAACTAACTACAAGGGGATATGGCAAAATGTATTTATTGGAAATGTACAAATGATACAGCCTCTTTGAAACTTTGACAAAGGCCAGGTCTTAACACTAATACACATAAAATAAAAACAAATCTTAGAACAAGCACATAGAAACACAGACATAACCCACTAAACTTGGGGGTTACCCTCTTCAAGTGCCAACTCACTAGCAGGGTCAAGGACAGAAGAATCCTTTGCTTTGTAGGGACAAAGGATCCAGGGTCTGGAATGAAGTTTACATAGTTCAAATTTATATGTCTTTTCCTCTAATATGTGTGTCCTGATCCCTTGTGTTTTGCTTTTGTTTTGTTGTTTCTTCTGGGATTCACAGATATCATTGAGAAAGACCCATAATGGTAGGCTGTATATCAAACATTAATCTTTACTAGACAGGTCAGCTTCAACAAGTGCTGCAGAGTGCCAAAAAAAAGTTAGAGCTTTGGCTTTCCAGACTCTACTAGAATCCCAAAGCCGAGTCTTCAAGAAAAGGAACTACATGGTACTGAGAACCAACGCCATGCTGGCCCCAGTGTTGGGCTCCTGTCCTGTCTTTGCTTCCTCTAAAGGCAGCCATCAGAACTTCCACAACACATGGAAAGACAGACATGCATGCATCAAGGCTGTTATTTGCCCCAGCTGGCAAGCTTTTCATTATTACTGTTTAATTGCTCTGTTGAGGGCAGGCCAGCAAGTCTAGCTTGTCCAAGGTGCCAGGACCCCAGCTCTAACCCAAGTGATAACTGGAAGCAATAAAATCACAAGACACTCATTTACAAATAACATATGGCTTTTTTTGACCCCAGCAATAACTTTATTCACACAAACGTCCCTTAATTTACAAAGCTTCAGTCATTCATACACATCAGGGGATCCACAGTGTTCAAAGAACTTAAATATAATGTATCATACCAGCCCAAGTAAGCCAAGTACAAAAAATATTCATATAAAGTTGTTCACACATAGGTCCTATATTACCAGCTTCTGTGCAAAAAAAAAAAAAAAAAAAAAAAAAGGGAAAATTAGACTAACTAATATTTGAAACTAACCTTGCGCCTGGCTTTAAACCTCCCTCAAAACCAAGTCTGACCCACATGGGCATTAAGAATAACTGAAATATCCTCCAGTTTTGATGGCAAGTAGCCTTTGGAACAATTTTTTTTTAAAAAATGTTCCCTAAGTAGGTTTTCTTCTTCCTATGATCTCATCTGGACTTAAAAAAAGGCTCACTCCTTCTGGTACTCTCCCCAGTCCTAGGGGCCCCTAGGCAACCAATGGCAGCAGACTTGTCCCTCCGTGATGGCTGTGGATGCTGACAACAGCCAATGCTATATGGTACCTGCAGGGCCCCCTCCCAGAGCATGTTTCCAGCCAAGGCTCCATTCCCTCCAAGTTAGACCGTAGGACAAGCTCAGAATCAGGGAAGGCAGAGGCATCAGCCTCCAGAGTCTGCTGGCCTGGATAGCTGAATAACCAAGCTTAGCCAATTCTGAGGTAGACTCCCAGCAGCTGTCTGGAGCTGCCGGGCGGAGAGAACCCAGTCAAGGGGAGGAATAACCCAAAGGCCCACCTAGAGTTAAGTCACTAGTGCTCCCAGATGTGGAAGGTGGGGCAAACGAGCAAGAGACAGGAGGGAAGGACTCATGGTGGGCAGGGCTAGAAGGGGCATCAGAATAAGGCAGGGCAGTAACAGTCCCATCCTTCGAGGATAGCAGTCTGGCTCTTCCAAAATTTCCAAGATACTTATAGGTTAAAACCCACATAAAATCCATCCTTTAAGCTGTCTTCTAAAACAGAAAACAGCTAACAGCATAAACAGATTCCCACAATGCTCTTCTTGGAAAAAGATTCACGCAAAAACAATGTAACCTTATTGCTGCAAACACTGGTTTTTCTAAAATAGTGATATGTCAGAGAGCTGAGAATCTTGGAGGAAGGAATGATGGGGACTGTTGGGGCAAGAAGGCTAGGAGAAAGCTAGGGAGTGGTCTTAGCACCACGGGGTTCGGAAGCAGAGTGAGCTAAGGGCCTCTACTCACTCCAGGCCTTCACTGCCACTGGAGCTAGCGCTGGCAGTGCCACAAAGGATGCCAGGCCCTATCCCGAGTCCGATTTTCACCTAGTGTGGGCGCACTTCTCCAGCTGTAAACAGGGTATTTCTCTAAGTAAACATTAAAACATCCCTCGGGCAGCCTAAGGGCAACCCTACTAGGTGGGAATAGAGTTCCTAGTCCCTGCCCCAATGCCCTAGAGCTAGGCGAGGCTACTAAACCTTAGTCTCCTGTGACCAGAAGGGAGTTAGTTAGCTGGAGCCAGTTTGGATGGTGCGGCGGGTGTCTTCCTGCTTGAGGTTAACAGGGAGGGGCAAAGGCATGTGCATGTGGGGAGCAGTATTTGGTCCTGGTCTAGAGTTGCTATGAGGGCCACGGAGGCAGGAGGCAGGTGTCTGGATACAGCCCACAGGAGGTGGGTGGGGCCCAGGGTTTTCCTCCCCTGTGGCTATGTACAGGTGGGAGAATATAAGTGACAAATGGACAAAGAGAAGACAGCCACCTGCTTCCGGCAGAGTCTGGACAGGGGAGGACAATGGAATAAGGCACTATAATCTGTCCTGCTGACTCCCTTCACACACAGGGAGCTGAGCTCTGAGCAGAGAAAGAACTCAGTTCAGGCCGGTCTCCCAACAGGCAATCCTCACAGCCAAGAAAAGTACAAATGTTAGTTGGAAGTTCTGCAAACTTCTAGAATGTGGGCAGATCTAATAAACCTGGAGGCACCTGAGATGATGCCCCACAGAGCTACTGGCAGGTCTACAACCCACACAGAGGCAGAAGGGGAAAACAACAGAGGAGGCAGTCGCTGATCCTCAAGAGGGACAAGGGAGCTGGGCTTTGAGAAGACTACAGAGCCCACCAGGGGCTGACTCACCGGCCACAGCACAGCAAGCATGTCACCCAGCCAGCTTCCAACTGGCTGGCAGGTGATAGCATAGATCACAAGAGAAAAACAGGGAAGAAAAAAACAGGAACAGGCACTTGGGGCTCAAGACCTGGCTCTCATCTGAGCCAGAGAAGAGGTGCAATCACCAGGCCAGAACCAGCTGGGAGTCGTGGAAAATAAGGTGCAGGGAAACAGGCTGCCCCTCATCAGGCTACCCACCTACAACCTATGGGGGCTTACATTGACACCTAGAAAAGTACGGTGGGAAAGCACTATACACCCAAGTAAGTTTTGATTGTAGAGAGCTAAGAGACGGAAAAGAGAAAGAAATGGTAGGTAGAGTAGTGATTTGCTAGGCCTGAGCCTTTACCAGGAACCCAGAGCAGGACTAGGGCAATAAGAGTGGGTCGGAGACTGCTTTTCCCATTTGTTCAGGCAAAGACACAGCAGTACCCAAGGGAAGGAAGGAAGTGAAACAGAAGAAATGGAATGGATTTTGCAATTATGGGATGCTGCTGTTCCCACCCTCCCAGGTGCCACTCTGATTAGGCTCAGGAGGCTGCTTAAAAAGTCACTCAAGGAGACAAGATGCTATCACAGAATAGTACAAGGTAAGGGCCTACATACCACCTGCAGCCACGTACCCACAGGAACAGCAGCTTACCTCTGGCCAAGAGGAGAAAAAAACTTTGGTGCTGAGTTGCCTGAGAGAAGGCTGGAAAATGCAAGTGGACACAGCTAAGCATGGTTCAATGTTGTGCTGGTCTTCCCCACACTATAGGACCAAGGGACAGCTGCTTGCAGAAAAGCCCCCCCTTGACCTCTTGCTTCCCTATCCCTCCTATGCTAGTTTAGGAAGAATGAACAGATACCTTCTTCCCTTGTCTAGAAACCCCATCCCATGTGGCCAGAACAAGGTGAAAAATAGGAAAAAGTTTTGGAGCAACCAAAGGTTGCATCCAAGTAGAGGGCGCCAGAAAGGATGATGCGGTCCATGGAGCAGCTGGGGGGAAGTGATCCTCCCTTGGGAAGCTATAAGAACTCTGCAAGGGAGTTAGAGTGAAGGCTATTCAAACAGAGGCAGCAGAGTCACGGGATCTAGGTCGGGGATGCTTTAAGACAGCCTAGCTGCTATAAGGGCCCTCTAATAACCACATGGGCATCCCTGTCTGCCTCACACCTCCCTATGCAAGGCAGGTCCTTTCTCTTCTCAGACAAGTTACAACAAAGCTTACCACCTAATATGAAGTCCCTGGGGGTTAAGAGAGATGGCGCTTGACAGTGTCACCCAATGGTGAGTGACACCATGGATCCTGGTACACAGGGTACACGTTTCACTGTAAGGAAATCATGGCAGCAGCCAGTAGAGGGTACTCTGCAACAGTCAAAACTGGCTCTTGGGGCCTAGGTAGTCTCTGTGACCGGCTGGACTTGCAGCACACTGGGAAGACAATTCAGGAGACAGAGGATAAAAGGTATTGGCCTCATAGCAGTGACAAGAGGCCAAGGAAGACCAAGTCTGATAGAGGGTTGGCACAACAGTCCTAACATTAGAGAGGGTGGGTTTTTTTATCCCCAGTGATGGGATGATCACTCTTGGTCTCCTTGCTCAGAGACCCTGGTTGGAAAGGGCAGAAGGAAGCTGTTCCCACTATAGTGAGTCCTGGTGTGGCCTGGGGCTCCCAAGAGCTTAAAGAGAACCAGACTATGGTCTTCTTTAAAAGTCCTTCTGGCTGGACCCTGGTCTTCCTCTGCTGAGAGGTTCTTCACCTCTGATCCTGTCTGAGGCCCAAGGGCTGGCCAAAGGCTGGCCAGGACCAAGGAGTCCAAGAGTTCCCACGTCTCATAGGGAGGTAACGCAGAGGCTGCTTCCTTCTATCTTCGTATCCCTTTCCAGGAGAAACACCAGAGCTTTGGGAAGTGGGATGCTAAAGCAGAACTGAGATGTGTAAGAAAAAACAGAACATGAAAGATAAAACCAAAATTGCTTCCTAACTTAAGAAATTAACGGTGAATATATGCATAAGTTTTTCCCACATTCAATGTTCTTAAAAACAAAACAAAAGAAAAACCAAACAATAAAAAGGTGCCTGTCCAGAGTGTAGCCTTCTGCTCTTCAGAAGTCTTGATGGTTTAATGTTTAATTATTATTATTATTATAAAGGAAAAAGAAAAGGGTAGCATGGGAAACCCAAGCAAAAGCTTCACATTGTGGGAGGTCCGGCTGTCAGGAGGTCGCCACCACCTGCACCCTCTGCCATCCTGTGAGACATGGTGAGACTGTGGGTCCCGAAGGATCGACCTGGAAGACAGAAGGTAGGCAAGGAGTGGACATTGGATCAGTGGGTGAGGGTACAGAGCCCAAACCAAACTGACCCTGAAGCTGTGTGTGCTGGCTTTTCTATGTGGAGTAAGCTGAGCCACTAATTACCTTGACACCTGTAAAGATATGCTCTTATTTCTCGGGCAAGGAAAGGAAGCTCATGTGTTCAAGGTCATAATGCCCAAAGGCAGACTCTAGAAGAGGGGACTTAGGCATGCTGCTGGCTCCAGCTATTCCCATTCCAGCTTTCCAGTACTCTGCAGGACCCATTCCAGATAGGATGTCCCCAACAGATCCTGATGGCCTTGGTTCTATTTAGCCTTTCTTCTCCACCCTCACCCATGACTATCATAAGCCTCACAGCAACCCTTGCAAGATTTCCATATCCTTTACATATGATAAAATGGTATTCAGCATCTGAGAACCTATACTAAGTTAGTCAACAAGTTTTAAAGACACCACATTACCTTCTCCTCCTGGGTCAGGTGGACTCAGAGCAAAAGTTTCCCAGAAGCGAAAGATAGGTCCCACACTCTGTCCACACCATCTCCTACTCAGGTTGTAACAGTGTTCTGGACAGACTGTATACAAGTTCAAGCCCTTTGTTCTTTGGTCTCCTAATCTACACCTATGTCACAAGCTGTTTTGAAGATTACATAAATTCAGCTGTGCAATGATCTAAGAAATGTAGAGCTGCTTGAACAGTATTATTGGTCCACCATTGCCTATTGTCTACAACATCGTGTTGTGTGTGATTGGGCTGGGCGGTGGTGGCGCACGCCTTTAACCCCACCACTCGGGAGGCAGAGGCAGGCAGATCTCTGAATTCGAGGCCAGCCTGGGGGGGGGGGGGCTTAGAAGAATGCCTGGTCCCTTGAGCACTGGCTGCTATTTGAGAACTCCTTTGGTGTCAGGCCTCAGGAATAAGACAAGAAGCTGCCCTTCAAGGAAACCTAGCACACAATGCCTATAGAGATTAGTCTTGGGTCAGCTCCATATTCTGAGCCACTTAATCACATAGCTAAGTATAGCCTTGTCTTAGACAGGGCAGGTCATCTGGGCAGCAGTGTTCTAAAGTTTTTTAAATGCCTAGTTTCACCCAAGATGGCAGACCTAAACAAGCCTTTCCCTGTATGTTTGCAACCCTTCGGTGGTTTCCTTGCTCATGGACACACTGAGCCCATTGTCTGCAGTTTGAGAAGTGTGCCCTGGTTCCAGACCAGTGTGAGCCTTCTCCCCTGGAGCTGTGGTCAGTCCAGTCAGACAACACTGGCCCATAGACTGAAGTCTTACAGGTGCCCCAGCTCATCACAAAAGTCTCTTCCTCTAGTCTTCAATCTCTTTTGGGCTCTGAGTAGAATAAGTATAAATTCTGACATTTCCAATGAGCCTGTATCTCCAGCTAGACTCTGAATGTACAATGGGTCCTGAGTCAGAGATTCACATCTAATGACTAAAGCCAAGAATCACTCTTTTTCCTTACTTTTAATAAACTATTAAAACAAAACTTGCATATAAAAATCAGCAAGCACACAAAATTAACCAGACCCATTGTCTATACATAAAAGCATGCATTCTGCAAAGAGGTTAGACAGAGTAAGTGAAGGACCTCCCAAGGAAGGGGAAATAGAATATATAGTTATGGAGACTTGGGGAGGAGCTGAAATGTGAGGATTAAACTGAAAGGGGGAGGAGGAGGGAAGAAGGGAATAAGGAAGGGAATATGGGGAGGGACAACTAACACTAAGGACCATTGGAGGGGGTTATATGGAAACTTACTGTTGTAGAAGCTTCTTATATACATATGAAAGGAATCTAAATGGAGTCAAATAATGGAAATGCCCTCACTAGACATTTTTCTCCACTAAGCAAAACTACCAGTGTCAGGAGTGGGTTACATCTAACTGAGCTGTTGGCTAAAGAAGCCCCATGGAAAGCCCCAACAACTCAAGACATTGCTTTCTACAAACTGATGGTACGGCCCTATTAAAGAAAACACTCACATCTCTCTCTGAACACAGAGAAGTTACCCTGGTGCCTAACTAGTGCCTAACTAGAGCCTTCACCCCTACTGGCAAGTGTTCAAGATACTGGCAGGTACTCTGCATGCTACCAGAGGAGAAAGGGAACCACATACCCAGCTATAGATCCCATGATCTACAATGGTAACCAGCCTGCACAATATACTGGTGCAACTGGAAGAAACATTGTGGGTTAGTGACCTGGCCAGCAGGGCACAACGGGTTCCAGCCCATGGGAACCTGGAATGAATAAGACTAGAGACATAAGAGAGATGGACAGCAAGACAGACCTTCGACAAGCTGCTGTTTAATGAGAATTCTGTACAGGCTTAAATAGGGGAATGTGGCATTGGCCATGGGACAGGGTTGTTAGACCAGAGATGCTGGGAAGTGAGGCAGGGGGCTCAGGAAGCATTTGATATGCCAGAGAGCAGGAGATCTCACTAGGGTGTGTAGGTGTTAGGGAAGCATTGTTAAGTGTTAAGGGTTATCTCTATGGTGCCAGGCCATCTGTGGGAAGGCCCCTGTGTTTTGGGAAGTGCCTTTACAGTGACCTTGTTCTCAACATCTCCTCCCTTACTTTTTACTAATGAAGGAAAAGGGTCTGGACTGTAGGTCTGAGAGTTGGTAAAGGAATAGGCAGTAGGTGTTAGTTATTAGGATCTTGGAAGTATTAAGATGGCTTTTTATATGTCACTCTTATATTAGGGCCCTTACAAGTATGAAATAAAAAGGCCATGAGGGGGCCTGTCTGTCTTAGGTCAGGGGGACTCATGGACCAGGGGTGTTTAAAAACCCCTCCCTGTCATTGGAGATGACATCTTATGATAAATATTCCTGTGAGCCCAGGTTTTACTCATAGGGGGTTGGGGAGGGGGTGATTATTAAAAAAAGACTGACAATATTTACAAGAGGTTCTAAATAACAATGATCACTCCCAACAATAACCAACCACTATCTGAATGGATTTAAGACCCACTCCATAAGATGGAACCCATGCTGGACACTGCTTGGGTAGTCAAAAACCTAAGACTAGATAGGCAGGCCAGGGGCCTGAAAGAAAACCAAATAAACACAACAATAAAATGACTCCTAACACATTCTGCTATACCTACAGATTGGTATCTTCCTCAGCCATCAGAGAAGCTTCCTCCTGCAGTAGATGGGAACCAAAAGAGAACTACAACTGGACCATGCACAGAGAATGAGAGATCATTCTCTGTGTAAGAAGAGGTGGATTTTAAGAGCCAGAGGATATGGATGAACCAAGGAAACAAGGTCTTCTATACACAACAGACTGTGTTAACATGTACAGGTCCAAGCTAGGTAGGGGCCCAGCACTGAAAGGGAGAACCAGAGTGAGCTTCCATCCTTTACCAAGAAGCTATCTTCAACTAACAATGGCTTGCCAAAAAACAAACAAACAAACTAGTTTTCTCCAATGGAGTTTTGAGCCCCACCTTGCCCAGCAGTAGATCGCCAACACAAAACAAACAAAATGGTATTTTGGGGGATTTTTTTTTCTCATACTGCTTTGTTTGGGCATGTTTTCTTTTTACCTTACTGGTCTTTTGCTCGCACATTATAGTTTACAATTTTGTGGGTTTTTTGTGCTTTGCTTGTATCTCTCTCTGTGTGTGTTTCTCCTGTTTTTGTTTGCTTTGTTTTGTTTTTGTCTGTTTCCTAAAGAGAAAAAAAGGAGTGGAGTATGGTGGGTGAGGAGGTGCAGAGGATCTGGGAGAAATTGGGAAAGGGGAAACCATGATCAGAATATATTGTATGAAAAAAAGTTTGCAATTAAAAAAAAAAAATCAACGCCGGGCGTTGGTGGCGCACGCCTTTAATTCCAGCACTCGGGAGGCAGAGGCAGGTGGATCTCTGTGAGTTTGAGACCAGCCTGGACTACCAAGCGAGTTCCAGGACAGCCTCCAAACCACAGAGAAACTCTGTCTAGAAAAAAAAAAATCAAAACCAAACAAAAGCGGCATACACCAAAATTAACCAGAATTAAAGTCTAAACATAAAGAGCATACGCCCTGGAAGACAGCTCAGATCTGAGTCTTGAGGTCTATCTACTCTTTCACTGGATGCTTCTGCTCCCATACTAGCAATAGGAATTCAGATTCCCCAAAGATCCACTTGGAGACCTCTTCCCAGTTTAACTTGGGAAAAAATTCATCCACTCCCTGATGACTTGGCAGCCATGCCAGCCTCATGTAGCTTTCCCCTGTTGCTTTCTGCCTGTGTTGTCAGTAGATGAGGAGGTGAAACAGAACAGACAGCTACACCTTCACCAAGGAAGCCATAGCGTTTCTGCCTGTGTTTCCAGTAGATGAGGAGGTATAAAACAGAAGACAGACAGGTACAGCTTCCCCAGGGAAGCCACAGTAACAGCAACAGTGTGCTTACAGGAAGATGGAGGGAGCACTTTTTAATACAACAAGAACAGTAGAGACCATCTGGTTGGTGTAAAGCAGCCAGCCATTTACTATGCTTGTCAGACAATGAGCAGGGCAGGTCCCAGCCTTGGTGGGTTCCTGTTCATCACCTTTCATCCTAGAAGATACCAACCATGGTTCTGTTGTTGACCAGGTCATAACACCAGGGTCTGGTTTCTAGCATCAGCCAGTGTATTCTTGTTGCTCTCAGAGGGACCCCTAAGCACAGAGCCTTCCTGAAAGTCAACACCAAATCTGCTAAGCAGAACAAAGATTGGTAACTAACCATCTATAGTGGACTTTACAGTAGTAGGTATGGCCTTGGGATGGGTGAATTGTCAGGTGTTTTTGTTTTTGTTTTTGTTTTTTTTAAATCCTTACCTCTGTTATTTCAGATCTTGGACTAAGTTCCCTCAGTGCAACCTAATTTCTCTATATAATATCACAAACTCTTTCTGGGTACTTGTAACTTTGTGGGTTGCCTAGTGAGGTAACTTTCAACCCTCCAATCATAATTTAT